GATTATATAATATAATATATTATAATATGATATATTTGTAATTTTTAATTATATTATAACGGAAATATTCATATTTCTTATGTAATATTATAATATGTTTTATAATATTGTAATTAGATTAACCATTTTAATAATATTATTATATTCTATATCATAATTACGTAATATGTTATTTAATAATAGTTGTATTGTATTATATTATAGTATAATATAATACCATCCTAATTTTTAATTATTTGAGTTATTATTTTAATAATATTATTATATTATATATCATAATTATATAATATATTATATAATAATAGTTTTTTGTATTATATTAAATATAATAATAAATATATATTTTTTTTAATTTTATATATTATATTATAGTATAATATAATATAGTCGTAATTTTTAATTATCCACAGCAATTCAACATCATAATTTACCAAACGCTATTACACTAATTTTGAAACCAGCACAGCTACTATAATTATAATTTACCAAACACTTAACTGCTTTTTGTAACAGCTACTTCTTCTTTCAGCACAACTAAAAGTAATTTTTCTAAAATCTACAGCACTACTAAACTAAGCCTATGTGCCTCTACTAAAATCTAAAATCAATGTGGCTCTATTATTATTCGTAATTGGATCGTTTAATTTAAACATATGATTAGAGTCTATAGTCGCACAAATGAAACACCCAACATCCCCTGGTAACTGAATTATCCGTCGGTCTTATTTTTTTAGATAATTAATATTACTTATTAGATACGGAACAATAATGGCTAAATTCATACAATATACCACAATATTGGGTAATATAATGATTGAAATTTTACAAAATTGTTTCTAAGGGAAAAAGAGACAAATATCATTTAAAGTGTATGAATCTGGATTTTTTTCTTTTTATTTTTTATTAATATCTTTTTTAATCAAATAATAATTTTAATTAATATATTTTTTAGTCAAATAATAATTTTAATTAATATATTTTTTAGTTAAATAACTATATTATTCAAAATTATATTAATTAAAAATCAAGACTCATATAACTAAGTTCAACAATTTTCTATTTTTTTTTAATCACTTTTCTTTGGCCTAATTGTATGGAGAGGGCTTCGCATGAAGGATTGTGGGTTCGATATCACTTGTTTATCTACAAAACAAAATGACATGTGATGTTACTAAATAGTAAATACTAAAATTTGTTTTGCTTTTCTTTCGTATCACATGTTGGATTCTTACTTTATTTTATGGAGAAAAAAAATGGAGAGCATAATATATATATGTATATATATATATATTTAAGATTTAAACTCTACCCCTTTAAATGAAGTTAAGTATGAATTTACTGGTAATTAACTTGTAACTACAGACAGAATCGTTCTCCACATCTTGGAAATGAGAAGATTTATTAATTTCTTAAGTATGCATGAATTTCCATTTACTCAAAGTACGTGGAATTAAATTAGTCACTCCAATAAAACCATTGTTAATGGTGCTCATGGATTGAGTGGAAAACCTCTTCGAATTTGAGAGAAAAAGTCCATAACACATTGACAAAAATGGGTATCTTCGTTGAATTGCATCGTAGTTTTCCATTTTCCCAAGTTTAATTGACCCAAAAAAAAAAAAAGGAAGAAAAGAAAAGTCTTCAACTTGGGTTGCTATAATTAATTGGTCATGTTGTGGCGTGCACGGTTCAAACGTGATGCAAAAATCAGGCTCCGAGTTGTCTTGCTCCTTCTCCGCATGTATTATCTCCAACTCCAAAGAAATTATCGTTTTTTAGGATTATTTTAAGTTTATTTTAATCCACAACTTGTATTAACTATTTTTTTTTAAGGAAAGAAGTGAAAACAACTAGTTTCCTAAATACGTTCATACTGTATAATGACAAGAATGGACTATCAAGCGACAACGATGGAGGCTTATACACGTGAAGAATGTACATGACGAATCATTATCCAAAACAATGCAGTTCATTTATAAAAAGGAAAAAAAAAAAAGGAAAAAGAATGCAATTATCGTATAATTAATATAAATTTCATATAGTTAGATAATTAAGACTCCGTTCATTTCAACGATTCGAGTTTTGTTACAATAAAAAGTTTTTAGAAACAGTCACATTTAACTTTTTTGCTACAATGAAAAGCTCACATAAAGTCACATCTCAACTCAAATTAAAAATTCGAATCAGCGAATTAAATAAACCATAATAGTATTCGGTTTATAAACTTTTAAGTGTGCCACAGTTTAGATTGGTCCTCGATATATCTAGCCAAATGTTAAGCTTACATTTAAAGTCAAATTGTAAGTATACATAATTTTGAATTGCAATTACAAAATACTCTAAAAGCCTATTAAAAATCAGAAATTAAAAAAAAAAAACTTAAAAAGAAGATTAGTATCCTCCATGCTCTTCTCTCCCCTTCTCAAACTATTATTGTTCTTTTTTTCTTTTTTCTTTTTTCTTTTTTTCACCTAAGGGCATACTATTCTTGCTACACTTCGATTTCGAAGCTTCCATATGAAAAATATATTGTTTCACACAGCCAATAAAAATATAGAATTATAATAGCCGTAAATATTTCTCATTTCCCAATCAAACAAGCAATGGAGAGAAGTGGTAGGTTGGGTAGATAGATACAATGATTGCGATCTTTATAATTTAGTTCGTTTAGTACGAGAATTTAAATCAGAATGATTTTAATTATGATTTTAAAACCATAATTATGATTCATAATTTTATGTTCAAATCATGATTCTGAAATCAGGAGTTTGAATCATCTTAAATCAAGATGGGGTAATTTTAGAATCATGATTTGAGCTAGTTTAAAACATCACATTAGATTCTAAATTGTGATTCAAAATTACCCAAACCAAGCACTGATTTAGAATCATGATTTAGAATCACTGTAAAGAGGACGTTTGGTTTATGAATTCAGAATCATTCTCGATTTACGTGTGTTTTTTGTGAAAAAAATACTGCAGTGAGCTACGAACCATGATTCAAACCATGTCACGAATCTTTAAACCAAACGCTAATTTTAAATCAGGATCCAGAATCATGATTTTGGATCTATCTACCAAACGCACTCTTAATTGTAAATATTTAACGTAGTCCCAGCCTTTGTTTCTGTTACGTGTAAATTAGAGCTCATGGACTCGAAGTAATCCTGATTATTCTGTATTTATTTTTAAATCAATATTTACATAGTCTAATCATTTGGACTTTTCACATTAATCATTAAGAAAAGAGTATATCACTATTCTATGTTATCCTATAATTGAAACATTGTTTTTTATTCTAAAGTTTGTAACCAATGGGGCATTTTGGAATCGTACTCCCCCCCCGTTTAAAAGAGAGGTAGAATTTTTTATT